AGTCCTGCTGTGGGAGTGGAGAGTGAGAAAGCTCTGTACGCTCAGAGGAGTATGAAAATATCGCAGGCGTGACCACAACTGGAAAATACCTGGAAAAAACGACATCCCCCCCCGCCCCTCCCCCACGAGTAGCTTTTCAGAGGAGCTTTCACAGGCGACTCTGCCCGGGGCGGGGCGGGGGGAAGCACCCGGAGCAAATCCAGAGGCTGATTCCTCCTGTACCACACCGGACAGGAATTTTAATGCCTGGTTACAAATTACTAATGTATTTTGCTGCGGGACACTAATAAAGTTGCTTTTACCAGCTGGCGTATTGTGGTGCTGTGAATGGAGCGGGCTCCTGCTCCCCCCTCCCCGGCATTCAGATGCAAATCAGCCTTGTGCTCATGCCTCATAATTGCTCCGCATCCCGCCTCGGGCTTCCAGAGGCTCCGGCGAATAATGTTTGCTCGGGCTGCAATTTAGACTGTACGTTATTTGTGACAGTTAGAGCTACGAGGTGTCATTTCGCTGTCTGATTTCAATCTCATGAATTTCGGCGTGGTCGACGCTTCCCAGTAACGTCCAGCGTCGGGGAAGAAGCTCCTGTTTCTGTGAAGCTCCCATTAAAATGGAAAGCAGCTGCTTCTGTAGTTAATGCCCCAAACCTCAATTTTAGAGCCCAGCCTTGGCAGGGTTTATGTTGTAATTTTATTTATTTCGGCCAGCTTATAATTTACTGTAAGGTTATTGCTGCCATGGTGCCAAAATGCTGATCAGGATTACGCTAAATAGTTCTTGGGATCTTTTTGCCAAATTTATGACGTTTTCAAGCATTTCAGCCTCTTAAGTACCAATAATAAACAGCTGAAATACATTCTATATTCTATAATTTTATTTTCATACGCCTTTAACGTAGAATCATGAAGGTTGGAAAAGCCCCCTAAAATCATCAAGTGCAACCATCACCCAACACTCCCATGACCAATAAACCATGTCCCCAAGGGCCACAGCCACATGGTTTTTGAACCCCTCCAGGGCTGGGGACTCCAGCCCCCCCTGGGCAGCCTGGGCCAATGCCTCACCACTCTGCCAGGAAAGAAATTCTGCCTAAGATCCAGTCCTAACCTCCCCTGGTGCAACTACAGCCCATTGCCTCTTGAATGATCTGGTGCTCATCCAGGCCAGGATGCTGGTGGCCTTGGCCACCTGATGTTCAGCAGCACGCTGGATGAGCTCCAACCTGCTGCCCTCCAAGGGTCAGCAGAGTGGAGCAGCAGTAGGTGTTGGGTTATACAGAATTACCAGCTGCTTTTATTTAAAGCTGCTTTTATACACCAGGATTTTCTCCTCCCTGGTGCTCATGTCGGTGGCTCAGAGCTGTTCCTGGGCTGTAGAGCCTCTGCAGACCCCACACACGTCACGCCCCCAAAACATGACCCACCAAGAGCACAGGTAACACGCCCATGGGTGAAGGGGAGCTGGTACATATTGAACCTTTAAAAACATAAATAAAATTTAAATTTATTTAAAGACATAAAGTAAACAGAATTTCTTTTAAATAACTTGATGCGGT